AGCATATGTGTGTGTGTGTATGTGTGCACACGGATTTGTGCAGTCGGGGTGTGTGTGTGTGTGTGTGTGTGTGTGTGTGCAGTTGCCAAGTCATTCCTGACTCTTTGAAACCAGGCCTTCCTGTCCTTCACCATCTCCCAGAGTTTGCCCAATTTCATGCCCATTGAATTGGTGATGTCATCCAACCATCTTATCCTCTGTCACCCTCTTCTCCTTCTGCCTTCAGTCTTTCCCAGCATCAGGGTCTTTTCCAGTGAGTCACCTGTTTACATCAGGTGACCAAAGTATTGGAGCTTCAACTTCAGCATATATACTGTATGTATAGTGGTTTTTCCCCACAATCCTCCTTTTTAAAGATTGAGGTACAATTTATGTAAAAAGCACACATTTTAAGTGTATAATTTGATTAATTTTGAAAAATGTATGCATCTGTGTAACTACAACCCCAGTAAATATATAGAACATTTCAGTCACTCCAAAAAGCTTTCTAGTCCATTCCCTTCCATCCTGCCCCTGGTCAAGCACTGCTTTGGTTTCTATCACCACAGATTAGTTTTACCTGGTCTGTAACTACATATAAATGGAATTACCGATATGTATGCTTCTGTGTCTGGATGTTTTTCACTCAGCATTGTTTCAGAGTTCATCTGTGTTATGACTAGTAAGTAGCTCATTCCTTGTTATTTCTGTGCGGTATTTCAGTGTAAGAATGTACCACAGCTTGTTTATCCATTTTCCCTTTGATGGTCATTGGGGTGTTCCCAGTTTTCTTGCCATTAGGAATATAGCTGCATAACTTGTCTTTGAACATATGTTCTCATTTCTACTGGGTAAAAATATCTTTGAAAAGAATTGCTTGGTCATAGCTGCCAAAAATTTTTCTAAAATGGTTGTACGCTTTTACACTACTGTCAGCAATGTGAAAGATTCCACGTGCCTCATATTTTTACCAACAACAAATGTTACTAGTCTTTTGTGGAAGTGCTTTAATGTGCATTTATCTGATAATTAATATTGTTAGCATCTTTTCCACGTGCTTTGTTCCTTCATCATTCATAAACTCCTCATCTGAAATGCCCAGGCCTCTCACCCATTTTAAAATTGGACAAATGGTTCATCTTAACTGCTTTATAGGAGTTCTTTGTATAGGCTATTTACAAGTCCTTTGTCATTTATATATATTGTAAATATTTTCTTCCAGTTTATGACTGGCCTTTTTAAAAAAACTTTGCCTTTTATTGTTAAGGTTTTAAATTTTAATGAAGTCCAATTTATCAAATTTTTTATGCATAGTAACTTTTGTGTCTTGTATAAGAATTCTTTGCACCCCTTGATTGTATAGATACTGTATGTTTCTAGAAGCTTTAGCATTTAAGCTTTTGTGTAGTCTTATTTTGAGTTAATAGAGAACACTTTGAGTTACAAATGCTTAGGTAAGTTCATGAGAAAGCATTCTTCCTCTTTTTATTATTGTTGAGATAAATTTCATACACTGTAAAATTTACCTTTTTACTGTGTACAATCTAATGGGTTTTTTAGTATAGTGACACAGTTATCCAGCTATCACTGCTATCATAATTCATTTCAATGTATGACAAAAACCACTGCAATGATGTAATTAGCCTCCAACTAATAAAAATAAATGGAAAAAATAAAATAAAATTTAAAAAAAAGAAAGAAAAAAAAACTAAATGGAGAATAACCTTTACAAAGTGTGAATCAGTATGTTGTACACTTGAACTTGTATAATATTGTAAATCAACTATACCTCAGTTAAAAAAAAAAGAACTCCTTATACATTGCAGTTATCTCCCTTCTCCCCTGCCAGCCCTCCTGGGCAACCACTAATTTACTTTCTGTCACAGTGGATTTGACTATTCTGGACAAGTCAGAGGGGATAAATGGAATTTTATGATATATGGCCTTTTGTGTCTGGCTTTCACTTGGCTTAATGTTTATAAGGGTCAGCCATATTGCAGCTTTTTATAGCCAAGTAATATTCCGTTGGATAGGTATAACATTTTGTTTATTCATTCATCAGTTGATGGGCACACCTTTAAACTTTTCAAAGGAAGTTTCTATGTTTTATTTTTTCAGGTTGTGGAATATGATAGTTTAATCCATGTACTCATTGGAAGAATACTTTATAAATACTTAAATAAGAAAAGGAGCAAAGCATTCTAACTTGTTATTATTATTATTGAAGTAAATTTCACATACTATAAAATTCATCCATTTAAAATGTACAGTTCCAGCATGTCAGCTCTCTAGCTGTGGAGGGCAGGAGTGCGCTAGCTCAGTAGCTGTGGTACAAGGGCTTAGTTGCTCCACAGTGTGTGGGGTCTTATTTCCCTGACCAGGGACTGAACCCTAGTCCCCTGCAGTCTCAATCTGATCCAAATCCAAGCACATGAATACGAATGATTGCTGGAGAAAATGACCCAAATGTGTAGTTTGTGACTGGTATATTTTCATAGCCTTCAGTCTCAGGTAGACTTTCATAATTTCCAAGAAATCTTATGTTTCCCAGTCAGCATATTTTCTTTTTGCTACAAAGACTGCTCTCTCTGCTGTCTGCTGTCCCCACATTTTACAACCTGTCCTTTATTTTCCTTCACCTGCTTTAGAAAGTATATAGGGCTTCTAGATAAGAATTCCCCCATATCTATGAGTCTTCCTTTATCTGTGTCCATTGTTTCTTTTTGTCCTAATGCAGCGGTTATCCTTTCTTAATTCTTTGATTTGTACTCTATATTCTATCCTCACCCACTTCCTTAGACGCCTTACTTTGTCAGTCTTCCTCTCCCATCCACTTCACACTTTTGTCATCAGTATGTAAACATGGTCATGTGTCCTTTTTAATAACAAAAAAGCTGTCTTCTATTTCATGATTCCTTTTCTTCTTCACTTTCTTTGACATTTGTCTTAAAATCTCTATTTTCTCTATCCTCATTAGGTCCTCAAATCTCTGCAATCTGACCCCTGTACTTAGAAGTCTCTTTATCATGGTCACCAGTGACTTCTTTGTTTCTAAAACTAGTGGATACTTTTTAGTAACAGCCATGATATTTCTTCTTCCTCTCTAAAGTGCTTCTCTTTCTTAGTTTTCCTGAGACTGACCTCCTGATTTTCTGTATCTGTCCTTCTGTGGTTTCCTTTGTGTAACATCAAAGCACAGTTTAATAAAAGCTGTTAGTGGGATGCAAATCATTGTGATCTAAGGATGAATCCCTGGTTTAGTTTGATTGTCCAGAGTAAGTTTTTCATCAATTCATAGACATTTGCTAAGGATTAAATAGAAGAAAACTAAAATTATATTTTCTGTCAAGATTGGGGTGAAGATGTTTTATGTTGCCAGTTATGGATTTTTTTTTTTAACATTCATTGATAGGGTTAGAGTTGCTGTTGTTCAGTTGCTAAGTTGTGTCCGACTGTGTGCAACCCCATGGACTGTAAGCCCACCAGGCTCCCCTGTCCATGGGGAATTTCTCAGCAAGAATACTGGAGTGGGCTGCCTTTTCCTTCTCTAGGGGATCTTCCTGACTCAGGGATTGAACCTGCATAGGCGGGCAGATTCTTTACCACTGAGCCACCAGGGAGTACTAGGATTAGGGTTAAGGATCTCTTAAGGAAGTGAAGGAAAGCAATCAAAAGCTGTGACTGATGGATTGTGAGGAATTGACCTCTTAGCCTGACTAACAATAGGCAGTTCCTGGAATGACAGTTCTCTTCTTTCTTGGCAGCTGTCCTGTAAATTGTAGTGCATGCAGTTTACGAGATTAGTATCTCTGTCATACAATTCATTGTTTTCTCTCTTTTCCTCTCCTCCTCATCTCACTCATTCCATTAGTTTTTTAAGTTGTGAAATACAATGCCTATATAAAAGTACACAGGACAAATGCAGTAGCATTTTTCTTTTTTCTTTTTGGTACTGTATCTGTGTAAACATTATCCGGTCAAAAATAGAACATCATCAGTGCCCCAGTCCTCATGGTATGTCCCTTCCTGGTGAAATCTCACCACCCTCACCTAGCTCTGAGCTGTAACCACTCTCCAAGCTTTTGAAGCCATCATTTCTTTTGTCTTCCTGATAATTTTAATAAAAACTAAATGTGCATCACTTGATAAAATACCTGATTTGAATCGTTCTGTAAATGGCAAAATACACTACTGTGTGTATGTGTGTTATTGTTTTCTTTTGCTCATGGTCTATCTATGTTTTTGCCTGCAACTGAGGTTCTTTCATTATGTTTGTTGTGTAGTGCTTCATAGTATGAATATTTATCCATTCTTTTGGTAAGTGTATGAATAGTTTGCAGTTTTCAACTAATATGAACAGTGCTGCTCTGAACATTCTTGTATAATGGCATACTTTTCTGGAATAGGATTGCTGGGTCAACTTCATTTTTACTGGATGTTTTCTAATTAGTGTATATATTTTAAAACCTATTCTCCAAAAAGATTATGCCATTTTCACTCATACCAACTATATATGAGGAATTTCTATCCCATTTGGATGTTCACCACCTTTTTAAAATTGTTTTTGTTTTATAAGTAATTAGCTTTTGTTATTTAAACTGAAAACTGGATCTGATTTTTTCATTTCCATATTAAAGAAACAGTAACAAACAAAAGTATTTAAAAATAAGGATTGTTAATCTTATGTCATCTGAGTCCATGCCATGAAATAAGTATATATTTTCGTTATAGTAAATGTTTTTACATATTTTTATTAGCTATATTTAGATTCATGTGGGATGACTATATTTTATATACACTGAATGATACTTGCCACAACTATTCTTTCTTTTTAACCTAAAGTGCCATAACTGTGTAAATTTTCAGCCGTAGACGAAATGGTAGTATTTTATATAAAGATCTTCTGTATTATCTTGAGCAGCAATACAACTTTGGGTTTCATCATATAGGTTTTTATTTCCAGGTGTTTATGTGGAATATTTATTAAAGCAATTCTAATGAATCTTTATTTTTCTTTAAAGTTGGCCTTTGCCAGAGTTTGATCCAAGCCAGATTCGACTGATTGTATATCAAGACTGTGAAAGACGAGGGAGAAATGTCTTGTTTGACTCCAGTGTTAAGAGAAAAAATGAGGACATATCAGTATCGGTGAGCATTGTTATTGGTTTGGTTCAAGTTTAATGTCAAATATTCTAATTCAAGAAAGAGTGAGTCAGACTTCAATTATGGTACTTTTTATTTGTCAATATAAAACATCTTTAGCATGTTATTAAAATTTAGAGCACTGATTTTGAGAATTTTTAAAGGAAAAAATATTTGCCTTATTTGCATTGGTCTAGCACCAGAGAAAATTTTAGTTTTACAGTTACTTATATACTTGTATTATGAGATATGACTAGAGCTACAGGGATTCTTAAACAGGACCTGGTACAAATCTCCCATCTTATATAGTTGTGGAAAGTGTGACCAGAGAGGTGACATTATTTGTCTGAAGGTACAAAGCAAGTTAAATCTTAAGCCCTAGTCCATCATATTTTCCCGTTCTATGAAGCAGTAGCAAGAATGTCTATTAGTTGACTTTGCATATCATATTTTGAAATATTTTATAACTAGTTTAGCAGGAGTACATAGCCATTCACTTAATCATCCAAGTAAATGCAAGTGATTGTTGTCATTTTGCTACTGCTACTTCTGTTACCCTTTCAGGCATAAGGACTCTCCATCCCCTGGATCTGTAATCTGGAAATGGAAGCCTGGAACTGTCTTTCTCTCCTCCCCTAAATTGACAATTTTCACTAACATTTCAGTAAACAACTCAAAGCAGAATACTTTGGGAAAGATTCTTCTACCAATAGAATGGACTTATAATAGACAAAGAGTTGTGTTTTTTTTTTTTTTAAGAGTTGTTTTTTAATGGGCAAACAGCAGATTTTTCTACCAATAGAATTGATTTATAATAGACAAAGAGTTATTTTTTAATAGGCATATAGCTACTTGGGAGTTTGTACTCGAGATTTTGTGTTCTTAGATTGTGCTTTGTTTCGATTTCTTAGCTGTTATCTGGATTTTTTTTTTCAGTCTGACAAAAAAATTTGCAACATTTTCTTAAAGTATTATTTAGTTGTGCAGATAACTAAGTATCTACAAAGCATTAGGCGCTTGGAGATTGTCTCTACCTTTCTTGTTCTCTGCAGTTAGACATTCTTACAGAGGTAAAGATTGAAAAAATAAATAATCCCAAAGGGAAATCAACCCTGTATACTCATTGGAAGGACTGATGCTGAAGCTCCAGTATTTGGGTCATCTGATGAGAACAGCCGACTCATTGGAAAAGTCCCTGATGCTGGGAATGATTGAAGGCAAAAGGAGAAAAGAGCAGCAGAGAATGAGATGGTTATATGGCATCACTGATGCAATGGACATGAACTTGGACAAGCTGTAGGAGATGGTGAAGGACAGGGAGGCCTGGCGTGCTATATGGGGTCCTTGGCCATGGGGTTGCTAAGGATCTCACACAACTGAGAGACTGAACAACAACAACAATAACAACTGCGAAAGAAACATACAGAATTCTTAAGAGATTCCACAGGAAGGAACCTATTTCTTATCAGTTTGGATGTAGGAGTATTAAGGAATGTCTCTGTGAGGAAGTAACATTCAACTTGTGATCTGAAGAAATTAAAGGCATAGTATAGGAGATGAGTACTCCTTTCAGTAGAATCAGCAAATGCGTTTTACAGAGTGACTTAGGAGCTCAGTGAATTGAAGGATGTAAAATAAGACCAGTCTGGCTGGAATGACAGTAAAGTAGTATGTAAATTAGTTGAGAGATGAAATTGGAGAGAGGTAGAATAGGAGCCCAGAGTATTTAGGGCCTTAGAGGTCTTTGAGTTAGAAGTTTAGATTATATGCTATGCAGAAGGAAACCATTATAGGGATCTGCTTTATGTTCCAAAAAGTCACTTTGGTAGAGAGTCCAGAAATAAATTCACACATGTGTGGTCAATTAACTTACAGCAAAGGAGCCAAGAACTATACAGTGGGATAGGACAGTGTCTTCAATAAATGATGCTGGAAAACTGGACAGCCACATGCAAAAGAATGAAACTAGATTGCTTTCTAATACTGTACACGAAAACTAACTCAAAATGGATTAAAGAACTTAAATATAAGACCTAAAACCATAAAACTCCTAGAATAAAACCAGTAAACTCCTTGACATTGTCTTTGCAGTGAGTTTTTTTTTTATATGAGACCGATAGCAAAGATGACAAGAGTGAAAATTAACAAATGAGACTATGTCAAACTAAAATGCTTCCACACAGCAGAGGAAACCATCAACAAAATGAAAAGGCAGCATACCAAATGGGAGAAAATATTTGTAAATCATATATCAGATAAGGGGTTAATATCAAATATATATGAAGAATTCATGTAACTCAATAGCAGAAAACAAACAATGTAATTGAAAAGTGAGCTGAAGATCTGAATGGACAGTTTCTGAAGAAGGCATAGAGGTGACCAGCAGATACATGAAAAGGTGCTCAGCATCTAATAATCAGGGAAATGCAAATGAAAACCACAGTGATGTATCTATCACCTTGTAGGATGACTGTTACCAAAAAGACAAGAAATGACAAATGTTGATGAGGGTGTGGAGAAAAGGGAACCCCTGTACACTATTTGTGGGAGTGGAAATTGGTGTAGTCACAATCGAAAACAATGTGGAGATTCCTCAGAGAATTGAAAATAGAACTGCCACATGGTCCAGCAGTTCTGCTTCTATATATTTATCAGAAGAAAATAAGAACACTAACCCGAAAAGATATGTGTAGTGCACTCTCATGTTTGTTGCAGCATTATTTATAAAAGCTGAGACGTGGATGAAGCTTAATCTCCCACTAATGGATGAATGAATAAAAATACAATTCAGCCATGAAAAAAGGGTAGCCTTGCTGTTTTTGTCAACATGGATAGACCTTGAGGCTGTTACGCTAAGTGAAAGGAATCAGACACAGAAAGGCAAATACTATATGATCTCACTTATACGTGGAACCTAAAAAAAAACTAATAAATACAGAGAACAAATAGGTTGTTGCTAGAGACAAGGTGTGGGGAGTGGGGAAAATGAGTGAAGGGGCATCAAAATGTACAAATTTACAGTTACAAAAGAAATCATGGGGCTATAATGTAGTACATCATGATCACTGTAGTTAATGACACTACTGTATATATGAAAGTTGCTCAAATGTAAAAGATCACACAACAGGAAAAATTTTTATAACTGCATAATGATGGATGTTAACTAGACTTGTATTTTTTAATTAATTAATTTTAATTGGAGGCTAATTACTTTACAATATTGTGGTGGTTATTGCCATACATTGACATGAATCAGCCATGGATGTACATGTGTCCCCTCATCCCGAACCCCTCTTCCACCTCCCTCCCCATCCCATCCCTCTGGGTTGTCCCAATGCACTGGCTTTGAGTGCCCTGTTTCATGCATCGAACTTGCACTGGTCATCCATTTCACATATGGTAATATACATGTTTCAATGCTATTCTCTCAAATCATCCCACCCTCACCTTCTCCCACAGAGTCCAAAAGTCTGTTCTTTACATCTGTGTCTCTTTTCCTGTCTTGCATATAGGTTCGTCATTACCATCTTTTAAAATTTAAAAATATATATGCATTAATATACTGGTGTCTTTCTTTCTGATTTACTTCACTCTATATAATAGGCTCCAGTTTTATCTACCTCATTAAAACTGACTCAGATGCATTCTTTTTAATAGCTGAGTAATATTCCGCTGTGTGTATATACCACAACTTTCTTATCCCTTCATCTGCTGATGTACATCTAGATTGCTTCCATGTCCTGGCTATTGTAAACAGTGCTGTGATGAACATTGGAGTACACGTGTCTCTTTCAGTTCTGGTTTCCTTGGTGTGTATGCCCAGCGGTGGGATTGCTGGGTCGTGTGGCAGTTTCTTCCCCAGATTTTTAAGGAATCTCTACACTGTTCTCTATAGTGGCTGTGCTAGTTTGCATTCTCACCAACAGTGTAAGAGGGTTTCCTTTTCTCTACACCTTCTCCAGAATTTATTGTTTGTAGACTTTTTGATAGCAGCCATTTGGACCAGTGTGAGATGGTACCTCATTGTGGTTTTGATTTGCATTTCTCTGATAATGAGTGATGTTGAGCATCTTTTCATGTGTTTGTTAGCCATCTGTATGTCTTCTTTGGAGAAATTAACTAGACTTATTGTAGAGATCTTTTCATAATGTATACAAACCACTGCATCATCATTATGTCATAAGTCTGAATTGAATATAATTCTGTTGTCACTTATATGTCAATTTTTTAAATATGGTGAAAAAACCACCTTGTTGGTTGTGGGAGGAATGAGGGAGAAGGAAGTGTTCGGTGAATTCAACCAAAATGGTTGAATAGCTGAGTAGTGAGAGCCAAAGCCTTTGACTGTGTGGATCACAATAAACTGTGGAAAATTCTTAAAGAGATGGGAATACAAGACCACCTGACCTGCCTCTTGAGAAACCTGTATGCAGGTCAGGAAGCAACAGTTAGAACTGAACATGGAACAACAGACTGGTTCCAAATTGGGAAAGGGGTACATCAAGGCTGTATATTGTCACCCTGCTTATTTAACTTATATGCAGAGTACATCATGAGAAACGCTGGGCTGGAGGAAGCACAAGCTGGAATGAAGATTGTCGGGAGAAACATCAATAACCTCAGACATGCAGATGACACCACCCTTAAGGCAGAAAGTGGAGAAGAACTAAAGAGTCTTCTTGATGAAGGTGAAAGAGGAGAGTGAAAAAGTTGGCTTAAGGCTCAACATTCAGAAAACTAAGATCATGGCATCTGGTCCCATCACTTCATGGGAAATAGATGGGGAAACAGTGGAAACGGTAACTGACTTTATTTTTTGGGGCTCCAAAATCACTGCAGATGGTGATTGCAGCCATGAAATTAAAAGACGCTTACTCCTTGGAAGGAAAATTATGACCAACCTAGACAGCGTATTAAAAAGCAGAGATGTTACTTTGTCAACAAAGGTCCGTCTAGTCAAGGCTATGATGTTTCCAGTGGTCATGTATGGATGTGAGAGTTGGACT